GGGAACAATCCCCGGATGAGCAGCTCCCTGATGCCAACTACACGCTCCATCATGACCAGGCCATGCTGAGCCACAAGTATACTTCACAACATTCGGCCTGAATGATGGTCGCATAGCTGACGGGCTTGTGACCTTCTTCGAAAGGCGAGGCTGGAACCACATGGCCCAGACGTACAAGGACAGCCTGCGCGCCTATTAGTAAGTCAACCAACCGGGTCATGACCGTAGGTCACGGAACACTAATTTTGATTCAACCAACAGCCCGCATGCGGACCAAGAGACCCTCAACTACCTGCACGCGTATATCTCCTTTTCATACAGGAAAGGAAAACCGTATCTTAGCGTCTATCTCCAGACCTTCGAGACTGGAGACTGGCCAATCTGTAAGTGTGCAACCATTCAAGAGAAGGAAGTGGAATATCAATCTGACCGGTATTTGTTAGCCAACTTTGGGATCCCGGTGGCCAAGCCTCTCCGTAGCAATGTAGGATGCCAACACCCGATTTCATTCAGCATCCCAATCACCAAAGCCCCGCTCTTGGGCGTGTAAGTATTGAGCCAATATGCTATTGTTATTATCACTTCAAGATAGTTTTGCCAACAGTGCTTGACTTTGGGGGCTATATTTGTAGATAAATGACTCTGTCTGGCGATTATGGTCTTTTGGCAGTGCAGAGATGATGTGCTGCACAGCATTCCCAAGAGCCAGCCATGTGGTAGCTCGGTGTTGTTTCCTCTCCCCATCTTCCCCATCTCCTCCTCTCGTGTTTGTTCTTCTCTTGGTCCTTAGTGAAATCCCTTTTGGTTGTTTTTTCTTCACTTGATTTCCTAGTTTGATTTGGCTGCTTTAAACTCCAACGGGGCGACTCTTTTTCTAGAGTTACTGATTTTTAGCTATTCCTTATTAATTGCCAGAAGATATTCTGTACCGAAGTTTTTTTTTTTTTTTTTTTTGGAAACGGTCGAAAGTGTCATGCTGCTCTATGGCAGATCAAGTTCAGATGGCGTCTCTGCTGCCACCTGGGTATGCCCAGCGCCGATCGCGTACTGGACGCAGTAGACCACTAGATGTTGTTCTCTCTGTCTGGGGAGAGGATTGGAGCAGACGTCGCGGTGGGGTGGCGAACGTCGTCAAACAGCCCCAAACGGGTTAGACTACTAACTAGTTAAGTTAACTACCCGCTGAACGTGCCAAGCCGGGAGTATTATGTCACGTGATAAACACTGCCAAGTTTTGCCGCGTTCGAGCTGGTTTGAGCGCATTTAAAGTGATTATTTTTGGTCCTGGAGAGAGAGAAAGGGAGGGTTTTCGCTTATTCCTTTTTTATATCAGACGGAGTAGAGATGTCGGCCTCGGTAACTCGCTTTGACTCGTCCCTACCCATTAGTTATTATACCTTCACGCTCTCTGGCAATATTCTGAGAAATTTCGCTTAACTAGACCGTACTCCGTAATAAGCTACCTTCCTTCGCGGCCAGGTCTATATAAAATGGGTTGACAGCCCTCTTTGTCGCCCCGCCTCCATCTCCCTACATCATCTTCTAACAGACTTAACACGCCTTGTATATTCCAAAGGGAAGAAAGAAAGAAACGGCATCGACATGTTCACTAACCAGGTTTTGATCCTCCTCGCCTTTGGCATGAGTATCGTCTCGGCCCATTTCCGCGTTGAATACCCTTACTGGCGAGGGAACTCATTCAAAACACAGTATACTCGTCCATGTGAGTCGCATAGCATCGACGCAACAATCAGTAGGCTCTCGCCCCACGGCTGACCATGGCTCTAGGCGGCGGCGTCAATGTCACCACGAATCGTACGCAGTGGCCTGTTGACGGTGGTGCTATCCTCTTCAAGCCTACTCACCATTGGGCTCTGACCTATGTCAACCTTGGCTTGGGAGATGATGACTCCATCATCTTCAACAACACAATCGTCCCTGGCTTCAACCAGACTGGCAACGGCACCTTTTGTTTCCCGAAGATCTCCATTCCAGCAGGCCTAGGTATCAGAGACGGCACAAACGCAAGCCTGCAAATTGTCCAGGCGTCAGCGGGTGGTGCGGCGCTGTACAACGTATGTGCATATATTTGCCCTGACGTAGGCAGGGAGACAGGCAGACCCTGAAGAAATACATTCGCTAACATGATACGGGTATATAGTGCATGGATATCACCTTCTCCAGTTCACCTAAAAACCTCCTCGCTCAGGGTATGTGCGTCAACTCTACCGGGGTTGGCGGCGTGGCTATCACTTCAGTTCCCACTTCTGGAGAGGGAATGCCATCCAGTGGGGGTGCCCTTTCCAGCGCAGGCGCTGCTAGCATGGGAGCTACTGCCTTGCTTGCCTTTGCTGTTGCCAGCTTGCTCATTTGAATAGATCATTCTCTGCGTGGATGTTAGTATTGGCGCCTGGTCAATCAGCTCTAACCACGGGAATGTCATGTGCCCTCTTGCACTTGTAATTCGGTAAACGACCTTCTATTCAGCCATCTTTTCTTCTAGTTAATAAGCCAAGGATCCGATATGCAATATATAAAACACACTATCATGCAGACTCGCTAAGTTGGGTATATAAAACAGCAACAACAGCAAAATTTCTTGTAGTACATGAAGTCAAGGATCATGAAATAAAACGCTGATAATAACGATACGTGATAAATTTAGTGCGGGGCATGGCTAGATCACAGATGTTCAAATGCTGTCTTTCACTAACAAGGAGAGGAAACATCGAAAAATCAACAAGTCAGTTCGGATTCAGGTTGTCTATTTACTGCCCATCTTCTCCAGCAGCATGGCTGCTGCTTCGGCAGTATATCCAAAAAATACCGGCCCGTTAAACACCATTCTCGGCTGTGGGTTGGGTATATGGGTAATAGGTGCCTCCGGGGAAAGATTTGATCGCGGGACGGAGTATGTATTCGTTTGGGTATTTGTGTGCAGCATTTGATGATGCGAGTGAATATGGTGGCTGCTTGCTTCGTCAATTTCAGGGCCAGGTTGTTCGTCTTCGTCCACAGCCGCATCGAGAGTGGCATTGGCTTCAGCCTCTGCTTCAGCATCATTCCCGAACGTTGACGCCTGTCCAAGCGGGCTTAGGCGGCCTTGAGAAGGCAAAAGCATTGTTGGATCTTCATCTACCCCTTCTGGCTTCTCATAGTGTGACTCGGGTGGGTGGGTAAAGGTATGATCTGCGGCGGGCTGTTCAGGAGGCACATGAATACCCCAGGGGCGACTCGGCGATTCCCCTACACGTACATCGCGTAGAGGGCGTTCGAAGTGGCCCTGTCGGTCATCATCGCCATTTGTGAGGCCCTGGTGTTCGTCCGGAACAGGTGCAGCAGTTTCAATTTCCTCAGGAGACGTTGAATCCGCCGGCGGTGACTTATTGCTCACATCTTCTGCCCATTTTTCAACCCGTTCGACTGAGCTAGGCTGGGCAACAGGCCCCGTATCTCCCTGCCCGGTTTCGTCTATTTCATGGGGAGTTGAGAGGTATGGCTGATGGTATTCGCCTAGCCCTTTCACCATATTTATCACATTGCCATATTTGGCATCAATTTTCCGGCTTGTCTGGGGATTATTCTGGTACCGGCGAATACAAACTGAGTGACTTCTTGGAATCTCATGCTTGTGGTTCAGAAAGTATTCTGCCAATTCCTCAGGGGAATGATCCCCCAGGTACCGGATAGGGCAGCGTGCCGACGAGGAGTGTACTGTTGAAGGCGCACCTTCTCCAATCTTCTCCAGCTTAATGGGGTCTCCGTCGTCATTCTGACAGCGTTCACCATTTATATTTGTTTCTTCTCCTGCATCGGCCGATGAGTTGGATTTTTTGAAAGGGCAACCAAGTGCACCCTTGATGCCATTTGTCGTGAAATCATGTTCCATCGAAGTTCTACGTTTTCCATGGTCAAAGGGGCAAGTTCGCAAAGTACTGGAGTCTTGTGTATTTTTAAGCTTGCGTAAGGCAGCCGTAGAGATGTCTAAGCTCTCAGTGATGTTCTTTGTTTCTGTAGAAGATATATAGCCTATCTTCTCCATGCTGGTGACCCATTCGATATTGTCAGTGGCAGTCTCATCAAGACTGGGCAGATGATTAGAGCCTATGATTGTATCTAGTTTATTATCTGAGCCTTCGGGGAGCGTATTTGCAAGCTTTTGATACTGTTCAAAGCAAGTTAGCTAGGATGTTCAAAACAATAAAGACATATCAACACTAGTATATGAAGCCATCAGATAATACATGATAATCGTTCATAGCTGCGTGAGCAGCTCTTGATCTAGAGCTAATCGGATTTTTCTCATCGTTTGGCGTTGAAAGGAGAGGGGGAGGGGGGAAGAGAGAAGTAGAGCAGTACAGTAATAGAACGGTGTGCATACCTCATCAAAAGCATACTGAAGCCGGCTCTGAAGTACTTGCTCCTGCCGAGTCAACTTTCGTGCAATCTCCAGGAGTGCAACAAATCCTCTCGCCAGAATCTTCAGCTCGTCATTTTGTCCAACAGCCTCAGTCGCTGCTGGAGGAGTCATCCTTTCAGGTGATAAGACTTATCGACCGCACCTTTCTTACAGAGTCTTCTTCCATGAAGAAGACCAACAAGGAAGACGCTCGCGCTGGAGAAAAGGAATGAAGAAAAGGAAACAGAAAGAAAATCTCGAGGTTGAAATAGTTTTCTGCTAGCTCGTTGGGAGGACTCGTGACTAGTCATGTGATTTTTCAAGTATTACGTAAGATTAACTTCGTTGCCCAATGATTATATAATGATGATTAATTAATTAACTAATCAGGCGAGTAACTCGATATTACTCAGCCGTCGCTTTCTTGTTCAACGTCATTACCAACTTCGCAGCAATTATGACGGAATGTAAGGAGCGGAGAGCAATGCGGCGGGCATATAAACACATAAACATGGCTATGGAAGGCTGGCTCAATATAAACTGCTGCCATACTCCCAGAAATAGTGCTTCCTGACGGGCTGTTGACTTCGAATGCATTTATCACACCCATTAGCTACTTAATTAATACCTTTGTCAAATCTGGCTCGAAGTTACCATTAGGTACCAATACCGGCACCATGCCACCAATTCCCGGAGGCCCAGCTGATATATTCGGCTTCACTGCTGTCGAGGCATCTGCGGAGAAGCTCTTCGACCGGATTGGGCTTCGAGATATGCATCCACCTCCGGTTATACCAGTCTCAGAAACCCCGATTCCCCAGACAATCCTAGCAGGACGAATACAGGGGTATGCTAGGGTCCATCTTCCTACTCCCACATTCCACCACTGTATGAGAGTATATCACCTCGGAATTGCCATGAAGCGTTATGCGTTCCCAACCTGGGCATTCACTGACGAAACTTACTTTATTACTTGCATGCTACACGACATTGGAACTACAGAGAATCACCTTCGAGCTTCTCGTATGAGTTTTGAACTTTATGGCGGTTTTATTGCCATGGACTTGCTTCAATATCCTATTAATGAGCATGCTTCCACCATCATTGATCCTGAAAAGAGAGTCACCGCGTCAAATGCGCTTGCTGAAAGCGTTGTTGAAGCTATTATGCGGCACCAGGACATACGTGATACCGGAAAGATCACCGCTTTGGGGCAATTGATCCAGCTCGCCACTATCTTTGGTTTGTCTACACTTTTTCAGCATCTATTCCGTCAAAACCCCAATGCTGATATTTGCTAACACCGAAAAAGACAATATCGGAGGGCATGAACAGTTGCTTTCACCGGAAACAGTAAAGGATGTTATTAAGCATTACCCACGCATGCAGTGGAACAATTGTTTTGCTGCTACAATTCGCAAGGAAATCTCCCTCAAGCCATGGGCACACTCTACCACTCTTGGTGCTGATGAGTTCCCATCGCGCATCGAGAATAATCCTGTTGGTTTAAAGTTTGAGAGTCTGGAAGAAAGTGTTGATGAAGAAGGTGGTATAGCTGGAGAGGTCAAAGGCACGGATGATAAGTAATAGCGCTTCCACTTTTGTCGAACCCAAAACATGACTTTGCTGCCGTGGTTGTAGAGGGTCATTGAATGCAACATTATCTGCTGTCTCCTCGGACCCCTTGCCTAATCATAGTTACTAGTACATGGTTCATTGCTGGTGTGAATAAAGATGGCTATGGCTATTACTTGAAATGGGCCTCTGTGACCACTCCATCTTTGCCAGAGATACTATACTTACTGAATATTCAACCACTCGACGCAAACATAATTTCTAGAAGACTGGGGCTCTTGATGGCCTCTGAAGGCCCAAAATTACTGATGGATATCTTATCATCATGCAAATGTATAGGACGTCGCTCATTTTTTAAATCTAAACTTGCAATAAACTGCCGCCGGATCGCCGCATATTCGATATACACGGGAAGCATCCTGGAACCGGATTCAAACACCTTGACATGATTAAACATCGTCAAGACACTGCCAACTAATAAAGAAATTTGGGAATAGCCAGGCAACACAGTCTCAGTATCAGTGGGCATCGCACAGGAGTAGATCAAACATGCCAACCAACTGCAGCTTGCACATAGCCAGAATAGCAGCGTGGGATCCATTTTCCCCATTCAAGTCTCCGATATACCCAATTTGGCTGCAAACACGATGGCGGCTTGAGTGAGATCGTGTATAGGTTCCGGGTAGAAGACATGGGATTCTATCGTTGACTCTTCATCTGCCGCATAGAGTCTGCTTTCAGGCGGAACATTCTTGAGATGTAGAGCTTTCTAGCTGTACGATTTCTGAGATTACTTTTTCGAGAACTGTGGCATACTTTGTTTTCAGGAGAGCAGCATCAGTAGCGAATATCGCGTCAGGCGTATATTCCGAGAGATATCTTAGAGCCGGGTCTAGTTTCGTTGCTCGCTGGACCTTCGCTTTCGAAAGGAGGCTGTCGATAAGGTCCTTGTACATTTCATCGAAGAAGGCTTCTGATTCAAGCGAGAGAAGGAATATTCGCGGCAGGCTTGTGGTCTCAGCGGGCGGCTGTTGGGAATCCATGTTGTCACTTCAGCCGCTGTTTCTGGCTGCTCTTAATTATTGGCTTTTTCGAGGTTCGCTTAGGTTGGCTGGAGACGATGGTCGAGAGAAGCGAGGTTACTGAATTGTGGCAGTTGCCTGGGTTGCTATTTATTATTAGTCAACTAGGTAACTAACTTATACTGCCTCCATTAATCCAGACGCCTGAAACGTTGACAAGTCTATTGGAAGGAAAAACACATTGTAGCTAGACGCTGTCTTTATTGAAATTGTCTGTTGGCTACTAATTGCACCACTTAGTTGGCTGTTTTGTGTTTCGAGGATACCTTTCAGGCCTAATGAACTAACTCCGACCGCCGCAACAATAGCCATTTATGTCATGTCATTATTAATCCCTAGGGGAAAGGATAATATTATGGGTCATAGAAGGATATTTTTGCCTTTATCAAGTAAAAAGAGAGCGAGAGAGAAAAAAAAAATCAAATGGGAATAACAGCAAGGGGGGAAACATGGGATGTAACTTAAAGTTCTTTTTTGTTGGGATATAAAAGAAAGGGGCGGAAGAGGGTCTTGGTCTAGTATGCCCATGCCATCTGCTGCTCAGGGGCCCCAAACAAATAGGCTGCAGAGTCACATCGAGCACTAATCTGTGTAAAGCATAGCATGGTATAAAATTGAATCCCAGGTGAAATCGAACACGGTAGATCTTTCGAAGCGAGGATGTGTGTGTGTGTGTGTATTCGTTAGAATTAGTTCTGGCTGGGCTTTGCGTTTTGGGTCTGGTTCTAGCAGACGAATCGAGGGTGAGGTTGACTTCTTTGGATAAAGCCCGTCTATAGTGGGCAGGCATGCATGGTTGGGCGTTGAGTGGTCGACTGGACACGTGTATCATAATTTATTTGCTCTCTTGAGTTGCGAGGAGGGTATAGACCGGGGCAGGGAGCTTGTCACGGCCCTTGAGGAAGTCGAGCTCAAGCATGAAGACAAAACCGAGGAGATTGCCTCCAAGTTTTTGTACGAGGGAGCCTGCTGCATATGCAGAGCCGCCTGGCAAAGAAAAAAAAAAAAATCATTTAGATTTAGCATGGAGGGGTATTTCTTTCTTTTTTTCAAACTCGACTCAAGGAGGCGGGGAGTGTATGAACATACCGGTTGCAATGATGTCGTCGACTACGATGACCTTCTGGCCCGGCTTGATGGCATCGCTCTGCATCTGGAAGAAGTCACTGCCGTACTCCTTCTGATACTCCTGGGTGATGACCGGTCCAGGCAGCTTTCCTTGCTTCCTGACGGGGACAAAGGCAGCCCCGAGTCTCAGGGCCAAGGTAGGGCCGAAGAGAAACCCACGAGCATCGAGACCGACGATGACATCTGGTTTCTGGTCTGCACCATAGGTCTCGAGCAGATGCAGCTCGAGGCCCCTGATGAGCGACTCGTGGAGGGCAGGGTCTGCGAAGATGGGCAAGATATCCTCGAACAGGATACCTGGAGACGGGAAATCCGGGAACTGGCGCAGAGACGAGCGCAGCTTCACCTTAAGACTGGCGAGTTCGGCGGCGCGGGAGGCAGAGGAGGCGGCGTCCCCGGCGACTTGGGTGGTGGAAGAGGCATTGGACTTGTCGCGATAAGCCTGCTGGTTATCGGCGGAGGGGGGAAGGCTCATGCTAGACGGAGTGAAGGGAGACGGTGGGAGCAGGAGAGTCGAGCGTCGCAGCAGACGGCAGGTGTAGATCTAAAGAGAGATGGATATATATATATATATATATATATATATAGACAGAGAGAGAGAGGGAGTGAGAGAGAGAGTGTGTGTGTGGGTGGGTGCAGAGTGAGGTGAGGTTGGAGGTGAGGTGAGGTGAGGTGGGATGGAGGGGAGCAAAGGCAAAGGCCGCCCTGCTAAATAGTCAACGCCTAAGTAACTAGGCGAGCGAGCTGAAAATCTCTCCTGACGGGACGCCGTGGCTAGTTCGAGCAGCCCGACCAACGACAGAGAAGAAAAACTCCCGATGATAAATACAGCGGCCGCCTGGATCCTCTCCTGTTCCCCCTGCAAGCTCCAAGGTCCAGCCCTAGCGGAAAGCGAAGCAACCAAGCAGTTAATACTAGTTAGCTAACTAGGTGCGGGTACGACAGCGCAACAGCAGCATGCAATACATCACAGCACACAGGCGCTGCGGTTATCCTCCTCTGCGCGCTCGCCAGCACCTCGACTCGACCAGACAGGCCCATCCAGCGGGCGGAGGGCGCACGGCAGCCAGGCAACAGCAGGGCCGTCGACGGGAGAAGCCGAAGTCGAACATGCGCTTCTCGCCCTCGCCCTCCGCCCATGCCGGTGCGACTTAAAAGGTCGGTGAAGCGGGAAGAAACACACAACCTGGACGCATCCCGGGATCGAAGGGCTCCAAGGACTTCTCCCGCCTTTGATCGACCTCTCAGCGTTATCCTTTGGTTTCCGTATTGTCAAGGAAATAAGTTACGGCGGATGGAGCTGCGCGCTGCCTGAACGACGATGACTGATTGATACACGGAGAACTTCCTTGGGTGTGGATATAAGATGGAGGACCTTGATCCCTCCCCCCTTTTTCTCCCATCCTCTTCAAGATCTACGGCGTGGGCAGGCAGGCAGTTCAGCCAGCCGTGGCCGGCTCGCTTTCTCCAGGACACACGAACTCGCAAACACAACATATCCGTCTTCATCCATCGGAAGGCCGTCTAGGCCCGTCTGTCAAAGTATCAGGGGAAATAATATAAATTCATAATAAAATAATAAAGTAAAAATAACGACACCACAACAAACAAACAAAATAATAAATAAAAGCTTGGTCATACCGTGTGTCACACCATATTTCTCCCAGAAGAGTTCTGGCGTGTCTCACAGCGTTTGTCCCGATGCAACGTCCACATGGAATCCCCGTCAACCGTCCTCAGCATTCTGATCGCGGGTCCCCCCCCCTCCCTCTGGAAGCGTTGGAAGAAGTGAACTCCTGACGTCTTGGCGCAGGCATATACCCTGAACTAGTGACACATCCTCCGTCCAGGACCACGCCACCCCTTTGTAGCACTTAATAGGAGGGTGTTTGAATAGGAGACTAAAGAGAGAGAGAGAGAGAGAGAGAGAAGAGTAGTGTTTAAAGAAATAACTTATGGCTTGAGGATACTGGTATAAAACAGGGTGTGTATACAGGAGTTTTCCCCTGTATGGTTAGGGCAGGATAAAAGGGTGGCATCTCAGCAATTAGGCGATGTCGAATGCCTGATATCAGTTAGAGTCAAGGCATTTCAATCGCTTGAAACGGGTTGAATTTTTCGTAATACAAGGCTAATGGTACAAGGTCACAGAACAGGTAGAGTTATTTAAGTATCTCTCAATTCGACTTTGCTTAGAGAGGTCGTTGGTCATAGGGGTCGTTGCTTAGAGAAGTCATCACTTGCGGAAAATTATTGCTAGGGATTGTTAATACTCATGCTCAAGATCTTTCTCTATCATAGTATATGATAGACTTTGTTTATACAGGGAATTGTTCTCTTTTTGACGATCTGGCTGTCGTGGGGTCGATATGAGGATAGGAGGGGCTTTGATGGTGGTATTTGCCCTCTATAGAGTCGACGTGAGGACGGTGTCTTCGATAGTACTAGCTGGACTCTGTGGGATAAATACTCTCCCGGCGATTAGGGTAATACCTCTAGAAAAAGTGTTTGCATCGTGCAAAACCGTGTATAGCACCAGGGGTATCAATATGGTAGATTTTGTCTAGAATACGCTAGTTACTTGCAATCCGGAGCCTGGCAAGAGCGGATATTATCATTCATCAAAACAATCAATTACCTAACCACTTGTCGCGTTACTGGCCTCCAAGCAAGAAGGCTTCCCCGGGGCTGGTCAATTAATCTTTTCGATCAGAAGTGAACTGACGACTAGTCCAACCAATTAACTGCTGGACAGACAAGCGAACAAGTAATTGGAAACTATCGAGTCAAGGTAAGGAGGAGCAGCGCCAGTCAAATACGAAGTCAGTTTCCTTCTTGCTTCTTTAAGTGAACCTTTTTTTTTTAGGTGTAACATTGGGACAGCACCGTATAGATAGATACTATGGATGCATGTTTGTTAGGAAAAATGGGCAGCTGTAGTTACCTCCGGATGGTACAAAGCACCAATTTTAGGCGACGCAAGGAACATAACATCCGCTGTGCGTAAAATGCTTGTGTCATCGCGACAGTGTAACTTATGAACGGCTCGTAGGGCCACTTAACCTCGCGAAGCTCTAATAATTCACTAGTCATTCTATCTTCAGGTTTTTCGTTGGTAAGCCTATAGTTCAAACATATATATCAAACGTAGGGATATCAGGCACAAAAAAGGGGTTTGGAAAAGTAAAAAATAAAAAATAAAATAAGGAGATAGACACCATCACCAAATACCAACAACCCAGGGTGTCTAAAGGGATAAATAAGAATGTAAAGCTGTGCACTACCGCCCAAAGACACCGTAATTATACTCTATATGACAATTAGATTGCTGATAGGTATGCCCTGCGACAGGATCTCATATCTCCGTCGGACCCCTACTCCCAACGCATGGCTGAAGTATTCATACGTTTTTTCTCCGCCCCCGACCATCACCATGCTTATCGGACGAGGTCGAGGGAAGCCCCCGACCACAGTCTGCATTTCATCTAGCAATGGTCGAATCAAGGATGACTCCTCGTCTGCTGCAGACTGGCGTCGCTTTTCTCCGGGCTGGGGGTATGAGACAACAACGACGAGTTGCAGAGAAGAACGAGAGGGCCGGAAGGAAGGTATATTTCTCAGCTTGTCAGAAAACGTACAACCTCCTCGCTTCACTACTATTATCTGGTGTGTCCGGGGGATAGACGGCGGAAGGCATTTATCACACAGGTGGCCCGCAAGGTAGATACTGGACCAAGAAAGGCGGGTCATTGCGTGTTTGGAACCGGGTGACGGAGGCGTGAATGTTGCATCTTCCTCGTCTGGTAATGGAGCTGAGCCTATCCCAGTGGAGGAAATGGCGGGTATTGAAAACCGGGCTATTGGACGACGGAATATTGGCGGTGTTACCGATGGGAGATGCTGGAGCTCATCACGTATAAGGGCTGTTACGTGACTAAGGAGCGAAGAGAGAGCTGATTTGTGACTCTCAGGTTTACCTGCATGGTCATCTGCCTTTGCTGTAGAGGAGTCAAGAACGGGGCCACCACTGACAACTGTGCCTTGGTCAGTAAGAGACGCGGCGGATGAGGAAGAGTTGTTCCGGTAGACGATGTCTGGCTTTACATCAATGATTATGTCCATCATGATAGTGTCAGGGGTTTGTGTAAAATTGGGATCGGTTGGACTCAAGGCACTCGTAGTCTCGCGGGAAACGAAAACCTTCTCGTTCTTGCCTAGGGGGATATTGCTAACCACTTGTATACGGAACCCTTCCTTGGAGGAAATGGTATTGCCTGAATACAGAGGAGCATCTTGAATCATACCTAGCCGTAGACCTCCAAAGGATTTAATTAGAATCCCACCTTCAACACGTTCTAAGCTTGGAGGCCCTTGAATCGTACTGGAAAGAGGAGGAAACGTCAGATCCAAAGTCGGCCGCACAGCCATCGGCGAACTGACAGCATCTCCAGGTACCAATGAGGGAGGAAGAGTCCAAGGGAAATATGTATAATTCGATGGAGAACCCAAGTCAGAAAGTGTAACACTAGGACCATCAACTGAAAACTCAACGATGGGAGACTCAGGTTGTGTTTTTGGAGGAGTTAGACGTAGACGCGCCAAGCTTGCTGCATGGAAAATATCCGGCCGGGCAGCGGTGGAAGATACACCAAAGGGGTTCCGCATTGCTGGCGGCCCACAAGTGCCAACTGATGCAATCTTATGTTGCTTCCACTCCCGTTGGAGACGAGGCGGAGTAGTCTGCTTCGCCTTTGCTGGAAGTACAAGCGGATGTCCTTCCGTACTGTAGACGTATGGCGAGTCGATCTTATTCAAAGGATGAGATGGCTCGAAAAGGAGGTACAAGTATTTGGACGTCTCCCCGAGAAAGAAACTTTCCATCCTATCACTCTGATCTCCTCTTCTGACATTCTGGAGACCGGCCCAGCCGCATTTGGTCCAGCATCGCCTTTTGATATCACGCAGAACCATCTCACCTACATAAAGATACCAGGGGTCTTCGGTTGCCCTATACAGATAATACGTGGATTCAATAAATTCAGGACGGCCGCCCCACCACTCGAGCCCGCCCTCTATGTCTCCCGTTGCAACATTCCAACGCTCCGGAAGGGCCGAGAAACGAGTCCAGAGTGCAGTATTAAGAAGGTGAGTCTCAGCAGCTTCTTCAACGTTACCTGCTAGAGTGAGAAGTCCGGGGAAGTACGCACTCAAGCTATCCATCCAAAGCGCGCGGGTGGCCCCAGTGGTAATGTCGCCTTGTATGTAGTGAGGATATTGGTAGCTTGAGCCTCGGTATAGGTTGGTTTTTATCGCTTCGAACGATTCCTCCCAGACTTTGAGAAAGCTATCCGGTGAGTGGGCCCGATGTGGTAGTGGCAAGAAGTAGCTATCGTATTCATGGAACGGTCCAGAAGCGTTGAATTCCGGCGGATAGCCTTCTGACAACAGTATATGGGATTTCAATGCATATTCAAAAAAGCTGTCCATGCCTGCCCCGATCTTCATATATCAATAGTGTAAGTTAGTCGTAATAAAAACAGCTAACACTTCGATTAAGGGAAGCTCACCCCGGTATAAGTTTGAGTCCATTCTCCAGTCTCAGCATTAATTCCTGCTCCAATGAGCCCCAGCTCACTCCTTCTATCCCATACGCTCCAAAATGCCCGTTTAGCGAATTCTTCATATCTGCCATCACCCGTCAATCGGCTGAGTACAGCGAACTCCAAAACCAGGCTTCCAGCGCCAGCGCTGCAGTTTTCTGTTATTTCAACAGGAGCATCTTCATCATAGTCTTCATTGGTGTCGTATCCAGTCCATATTCTAGAGTTCAGCGGGGAGTTAGGATGAAAAGGGACCCCATTGCGTAGGTTGACCCGAGGATACGGAATTCCGGTGGGAGTATAGAAGGCAGGAAGGAGGCGAGTTCCTAGATCTCTGGCAAGTCTAAGCAACTGTCCATCATACACGAACCCATTCTCCCATTCAATTCCACCCTCACTACCCAGGGGTTTATTCCACAGTTTCGCAAACTCCTTCTCCTCCAGGGGAGGCTCATAGCCACGTATTGGGAGCTCACCCACAGCAAAGAGATGGGCGCTGAGGAGCCCGCCTATCAACAGTTTAAAATGTATCAGCCATTTCATATTTCATCTCGAGTCCCGATGAAGCGTTATATCATTTGCTCACCTAGACCTCGAATCACACTTTCAAATACCTGCACCTTGCTGTCAACCTCAAATCCTTTGCTTCGGGACCCAATTCCATTAGGACCATCCGACCCATCTCCGTATAATTCCACTAAATCTCTCACTCCATTCTGAAAATATCTCCACGCCTTGCGGCCGTTCAGATCTGTCGAGTTTGGATACGATAAGATCGCGAGGGTTGATAAGCTGTCGACAAGCGTTAAGGAATAATTCCCTAGGACGTCATTGAGCTCAATATGCGCTGGGTTCTTCCGATCCCGTGTCAACGGCTGGCAGGACACCGGTCGTAGTTCGTCTTCAGGGAAGGCATATTTCATGTAATTCTCAAACCCGTGAAAAAACATATGTTCCGTTTCTTTTCTGGAATATGTAGTTGTGAGTGGTCGAGCTGCATGTCGTTACTGTCATATGAAAGGGATAGAAACCCACCGAAGCTCTTTAATCTGGCTTTCCAGCATGCCCAGTGTGCAGGTAAGCCATAGCGATATGGCAAGCAAGTAGCCCAGCCATGAAGATGGGAGATGAATGGACATATGGGAGCGTCGGTCTGTCGAGCGCATCACCAAGAGGAAATTGGTAGCCGCAATGTCATTAGGATTGATTGCCTCTGTGAGTTCTCAAACCCGACCAGAAGCCGTATCGAGGGTAGAGCTGCGTTTATGCCAGTTCAATGTGTGTTGGAATAATTTATTTAGTCCCTTCAATCAATTACTTAAATTCGGCATGTGGACAGATGTGCACGTTGGTCGGGTTTACATCAGCGGAGCCAAGGCCGCATGTACCAGTTACTTTAGGCACGGAGTACGGAGGTCTCCACCATAAGTCTTCAACACCCCCCTAAAATACTAGTGTTTTATATACAGTGGCTTTACAAACCAGCTAATCCTGCTTTGTCTCTAGGTGCCTCAATATTTTATATCACTGGCCCCTTTTTCCACCAGTCGCTAATAGTCTCTAGTATAATTGGTCAATAATCTGTTGAACCTAAGACACTTGTACAGCAATTACAGCCAAAAATACAAGGGGGGTGTTGAAGACTTATGGTGGAGACCTCCGTAACTAACTAGTCAACTACGCGGGTAACTTGTTTTGATTTTGAATTTGAACATGTGCATCGGCCATTATATGATACTTGTTGTCATTGGAATCGGACGTTAATTGGAAGACTTGAAATTAGGCCGTAAAGTCGTATTCTCGAGTTTTCCTTGTAGTTAGTTATTAACTACGGGAGAAACCCCAGCAAAGGCCGCTAGCAACACAAATAGTTAAAACGAGCACATCAAAATCAGAATCCTCAAAAGAAGCTAATGGTTATTTATAGTCATGACTAGGACGGAACATTGATTGGGTACTGAGCCGCAGTGGCGTTTTGTTTATTGCTCGGTTGGCACTGTAGTTGAGCTTGTGAAAGTACTCTGTAATTGGGGTTGGAGATTGACAACAATGGACGGCTGGCCCCCCTCGTCCGAGATATAGCTAGGAGGCCGGTTTGTGCTTGGCGGTCGGGGCTCGCTCATACTCTGAGAGTGGCAACGATTGGGTTTCTGCGGGTCAATACGTTGCCAGTAAAGCCGGCTTGGGTCCATCTTCTAATAACTACGTTATCATTCCTTGTCTGTATAATGTAACTATCCAAGTCCAGGCTTACCACACTGCCCCTCCAAAGGCCATATGCTGGAGGTGGAATGGAGATTTGGCCAGGTTTGTTTTCGCCCTCCACAGCCTCGGTTCCGAGGCCCATCTCCAAATCAGTTGCAAATATGACTGGGATAGGTCGATCAATATGGGTGAAGCTCTCAACCATATCAGGGCCCCGGGTAAGTTGGTCATAATGCACCTGTCGCCGGCGCACCTGGCGTCGTTTCGCCGTCATCAGCAATCGGATGAGCGAATGGCAGAAATATACTGTACAAGCCATCAAGGCAATAATTAGAATGATGTGAAATTCAAACTTCTTTCCTGAAGAAGTGACGGCAAGGACAAGATCTAAGTATATAGTTAGTATGTGAATCGAGCACAGGAAAGCAGGGAGTGGATGGTGACAAACATGTTGTTAGCACACTGGCTAGAAGGATCCCTGAAATGGCGCAATCTATAAGTTTCCTCCTTGTTGATCTGGCTTTCACCCGCGGCCGCGTGCAGAGCAGCCATCCCGCCAATTTGTCGCGACTTGGCTTGTGTTTTGGTTGGTGAGGGTGAGCCTCAACTGAACGCTGGATCCAATTGAGTAATACACCCCCGCTATGAATATGGTTCTCGACTCTCTGTTGTGCCCGTGAGCTTGTCATATGGCCACCTGATTCTGTACTGGGGGGTGAGAATGGTAGTATATTATCATTTGGCGGCGCGTTGTTGTCTATCACGGAGCCAGTCGACGAAATAGACCTTCTTCCTGACGAGATGTTTCGTTCACCGCGTACACTTCCACCTGATCCGGGCGCATACATGCGTATCTCCGCTGGAGATAGTCGTGAGGGTTTACGGGAATTCTCCATGCCGCAGGAGCCAGGAGGAGAACCTCCAGCAAAAAGAGCGGAAAGGCGAGAGCGGACTTTTTGAACCCGGTCCGCCATGGTTAGTCCACTGACAGCGTTATCTTCGGTCGCCATGGTTTGCATATCGATGTCTTGTGGTATCAACTTGCTTGCCCTAGTTTGTCTTTGTTGGCATCTAGCCGCGACTTGATAATCTCCTCCTTCAGCAAAAGTGAACACCACAGCTAAACGCGTGTAGTCCAAGTTGTTGATATTATATGACAGATTCCGGGATTCGTTTGCCTAGTGAGTTACCCCAAGGCTCCAGAAATACCGAGTGTACAAAGAAGTGGGTAATGGCGGGTATATTGTTCGCAGCGGCCGTTAACAAAGATATCTCGTCCAGGGGCACATACACCTATTCCAAGCTTTGAAAGCGCGTATGTCGGGGTAGACCGCACGTCCATCTTTCTAAAACGAAGGAGATGGCATCTTCAAGATGTCTGACAACGTTCCAGGCAGAAAACAATAACTACCAGCAATCATCTAGACTGCTCGGAATCAAGAAACGAAAACGAAGGGAAGCAAGAAGGAAGAGAGGATAGCTATATCTCTTCAAGATATATATATTTCTACGGAGCACAGATCAGGGCACTCTGCCACTGCCAAAACTGACTGGATGAGAAAAATTACTGACCAAGATTGTCTTCCAATGTCAGAACCAGCCGAGAAAAAGCAAGCATGGTTGCTATCCATCCAGGAAGCGCAGTTTGCCATGTGAGGGAAAGTATGAAGTCGCCCATAGCGACTGAGAGGGCGAGTATGGCAAAGGAGACGGACTACAACCCTCCCCCGGGCTGAGCCATGCATGATTGGACTCTGCTACGGACGCCTGCTGGCCAGTGAGGCTGCGATGCGAGGAAGATTCTGAAGCAGGAGAATCCCTGTTTGTGAGGATTAGGAGCGCGCTAGGTTTCGGGTTGGCCGCAACCTTGGCACCTTCTGTTGAAAAAGCAAACATAAATACGGCAACAAAACCAAGCTTGATACATTGGGAAAATGAGGTTCACTGGAAAGACTGGGTTAGACAGCACTGTCATCTCTGTAGCTGTAGTTGTGCCTCAACATGCCATGTTTCTGTAGTATATACAGCTGAATCTTCTAGTGGGTTTGTCCCATGCAAGCATAGGTACAAGAAACAGAACTCGAATCCGAAAGGAAGTATAGGGCTGTGATAAAGGCAACTACTCTGGTAGTAGATGCTGAAAGGATGGCTTCTCGAATGATTTTCGTTTGCGTCCTCTTTACCATTTAGATGCTAAGGTAGCTGGGTTCCTCGTAGACAGGTATAGGTATGACGCGGTTCAGGTGAGATGGAGTGCAATGGAATTACTGAATAATCTTAATCCAGTCGAAGGACTTAAGGCCTCCTCAAAGGTGCCAGCCAGGCGTGAAATACGGAGATAAACAGGAAGGTATTATTTCCCGAGCTCACCCAGCATAACTGTTCGATCAGATGAGCCAGACACAACTACAGCAGAGAGTTAGTGAACATCCCTCTGGGCAACCCCTTTCACAAATTTGAACTTACTAATGGGTTCACCAGCTGGCGTGAATCGAACATCGTTCACGGTTCCCTTGTGACCAGGGAGCTTGTATAGCAACTTTCCAGTC